TACTCCTACAAGGTGAAGCTAAGCTGTCTCTAGTACAAGTAAAATTTTCACCCGTTGAACGGTTACTCGAGGATGTGTTTTTAAGGGCACGGATAGAGCTTCCGACCCCCCTTAATTTCATTGACCCTCCACACGAGTTGAGGAAAAGGAGTTAAAAGAAGTACTCTGGCGAGCGCCAGATGTACAGAAATTGCTCTTGCTCGACTAATAAGGGTCGACCGTGCAAAAGACTGCAGTTGGAACCCCCGCCAAGTGAATAAAAAGGAAAAAAGTAAGTAAAATGAAAGTGAAAAAGGGGTTCCAACGGTGAAATGAAGTGAAAGAGCACCCCGGTACAACGAGTCCTTGGTTGTGAATGGTGTGAGTCCCTTTATCCATGAACTGACTGTCTTACTTCTACTTTTTCTCATGATCCTGGCTTGAGTCTAGTACTCGCATTGAGAAAGATAGGGGACGTCTTAGAAGACCAGTTGACCTCGTAAGCTGCTTTATGATCTAGAAAGTCCTCTACCGACGATCGGGGTTGTTTGTTGCTATAGAGCTCTGGAGAGTTGCATTGGTTTGAGTTAGGTTTGCTTGGGGACAAGCAAACAGTTAAGTGTGGGGGGATTTGATGACTCGGTATTTGCACATGTTTTCCCCGTTGTTTCTTGATTGTTTGAGCTTGAATTATCGCGTCTTTGGCCTATTTTATGCTAGGTTGTGTTCCTTTGTCACATTTCAGGTCCTAGCACATAAAGTGAAGCATTGGCGCAAAGTTCAAGTCAATCAGAGATCAATTGACGATTCGGGAGAAGAAACTCGGGTATGACCTGAAGAAGAATGGATTTCTACCTCACTTCATGAACAAAGAATCATGCAAGCTTGTTATGAAATGAAAGAGGACGAGACTACGAGCATCTGGGATCAAACGGCGACTGATTCGGAGTCCGGACGAGGGAGAAACGAAGCATTGAACAGGCTCGGCAGTGAAAACACGGGCAGTAGGCCTTCAGAACACGGCCGTGTTCTGTGACCGTGTTTTTACTGCCGAGAGCTGATTTGAGTTTGGCCAACTCGAGCTGAAAACACGGGCGGGCTGAGGCAAAGCACGGCCGTGCCCTCGACCGTGTTTTGCCCAGAATCGGGTTTTTTAACCCAAATTCGAGCCAAAGGAGAGAGAGAGCTGGGTTTTGGATCCCAAACACCCAAGGGACGAACCAAAGAAAGAGAGGGCGATTTGAGGGCATTCTAAGAGTGGAATTGGAGGATTTCTTCGCCTTGGAAGCTTGAGGAACAAGCCCGGACTTGAAGACTGATCATCTGAAGATTCTTACTGCAGTCTCTCTCTTCTCTATGGAGTAACTTCCCTTCACTTAGGTTTTGAGGAACCCTAGCTATGTTTGTTTGATTGGATGATTGTATGAGTACTCTGACTTGATAATCTTGAGTTCATATTCAATCTATGCATGTTTTCATGATTCAATTCTGCTTTAGTCGAGATTATTGATTCTGCTTTGATCCTATGAGAGCGAATACCTGATTAGGTCAATAGAGCACCATAGATTGATAGTAGTGGATCGATTGCTTTAGTCGAGGGTTGATTCACTGCTTTGTATCGATTGAGAACCTCATTCGATAGAGGGAATCTAGTTCAGAACGCCTTGATCAGTTGTTCTAGAGAAGGATACGTCCCTCTAGGCAATTGACTCAAGAGGGCCTTGTTCCTTTAGTCGAGACTCAAGGTCTAGTCAAGGATTCTCCGCATTGTGAATGAAAGTGAAACAAGTTAGAGATCATCAATCGTTAATCTGGCTAGTGGCTAGGGGGAATCATACCTAAGTGAGTTCCCAACCTGTAATTAGATTAACTTTAACTGTAGTTTGTTAGAGTAGTTTTAGTTCTTTCATCTTAATCTGGTTTGCTAGATAATGAACTGAAGCTGAGTAATAGTAACTCTAGAGACCCGTGGATTCGATATTTATTACTTGAGCCACTATACTGCAGTCCCTTTCATTGGTTACACTTGGCCATTGTTAGGTGTTGTGTTTTAGCGAGTCAGTATGGCTTCGAGGACATGGTGGCGTATTCATTTCAGGTTGCTGAGGAAGTGGATGCAGGAGAGCCACAGTCCTATAGAGAAGCAGTTTCGGGTGGTGAAGCTGATCAGTGGCTTGTCGCAATGGGAGATGAGATAGAATCCCATGACAGGAATCAGACTTGGGAGCTAGTCAAACAACCACAGGGAAGGAAGATTGTTACAAACAAGTGGATCTACAAGAAGAAGGATGGAATCACTTCTAAAGAGGGCATGAAATTTAAAGCTCGGGTGGTTGCACGAGGCTTCTCGCAGAGGGAAGGAGTTGACTACACTGAGATTTTCTCACCAGTGGTCAGACATACTTCGATCAGAGTGCTACTAGCAATAGTGGCACATTATGACTTGGAGCTCGAGCAGCTAGACGTGAAGACAGCTTTCCTACATGGAGAGTTGGAAGAAGAAATTTACATGACTCAGCCAGAAGGGTTCGAGGTTCCGGGAAAAGAAGACTATGTTTGTAAGTTGAAGAAGTCCTTGTATGGACTTAAGCAATCTCCGAGGCAGTGGTACAAGAGATTTGACAGTTACATGCTTGAGCTGGGCTACAGCAGAAGTCCATATGATTGTTGTGTATATCACAGCAAGGCAGAGGATGGTTCGATGATATATCTAGTTCTGTATGTGGATGATATGCTCATAGCTGCGAGGTCAAAGTTTGATATCCAGAAGTTAAAGGGGCTTCTCAGTGCTGAGTTTGAGATGAAGGATTTGGGAGCTGCTCAGAAGATCTTGGGTATGGATATTTACAGGGACAGGTCGAAGAAGAAGCTTTTCTTGTCACAGAAGAGCTACATCCAGAAGATACTGTCGAGGTTTGGCATGTCTTCAGCAAAGCCCTTAAATACTCCTAGTGCTTCAAATGTTCATCTATCCTCAGCTTATGCACCGCAGTCAGAGGCTGAGAAGAAGTACATGTCGAGAGTCCCATATGCTAGTGCAGTAGGTAGCTTGATGCACGCTATGGTATGCACTAGACCGGATCTTGCACATGCTGTTAGTGTTGTCAGCAGGTTTATGATACAACCTGGGAAGGAGCATTGGCAGGCTGTGAAGAGGATCTTCCGGTACCTTAAGGGTACACCTGATGTGGGGATTAGCTTCGGAAGTGATACAGAGTGCTTGGTGTCTGGGTATTCTGACTCGGACTATGCTGGAGATGTTGACACGAGGAGATCGATGACCGGTTATGTATTCACTCTTGGGAGTTCTGTAGTGAGCTGGAAGGCAACTTTGCAGTCGGCGGTGACATTGTCTACTACTGAGCCAGAGTATATGGCGTTGACAGAAGCTGCTAAGGAGGGAATATGGTTGAAGTGACTGGTTGGTGATCTGGGTCTACATCATGATCAGGCAGTGGTGTATTGCGACAGTTTGAGTGCAATATGCTTGGCCAAGGATCAAGTCCACCATGAGAGGACTAAACACATCGACGTGAGGTATCATTTCTTGAGGACAGAGAAGAGGATTAAGGTGAAGAAGGTTGGAACCGCGGATAATCCTGCTGATATGTTCACGAAGCCGGTTCCACATGGCAAGTTCCAACACTGCTTGGACTTGCTGAATGTCTTGAGTGGGTGACTCCGCCCTACGGGGGCATTGATGGCGGGAGAGGGAGAAGGAGCAGAGTACATCAGAGATTTCAGAGGAAGAGGATTCAAGTCAAGGTGGAGATTTGTTGATATGACTTGAATCGGATTATCAGCCGCTACGACTGGTAATCGAGGGTCTCGCTGTTTCCTTTGTCTGTAACCGTTTGGGCTCAATGTTATTTGGGTTCGGGTTCTGGGCCTGGTCTGTAACCGTTTCCTTTGTCAGATTGGATTAGGTTTAGACCCACATGGAGAAGTACTATAAATACTTCTCATACTCCTCTGTAATCTGTAATCTCCTCGATATAGTGAAATTGCCTCTCTCTCGCACGTGGACGTAGCTAACACACATCGTGTTAGTGAACCACGTAAATCGTGTGTCGTGTTTTCGATTCTCGCTTTCGTATTCTTGCTTTGTCGTTTCCGGCGATTTCCCGATCCGTAGCAGCGCGTTTATAACAGCGACCATCACTTTCCTGGCAACAGAAGGGTTTTGCGACGTCCCTTTCTCCTACACTCAGAGGGACGAACTCTTCAATGGCAGGATCGTTGCTACCGAGATGCACGACGGGCTCTACACCGGCGCTAATCTCTACGAATTCCATTGGGAAAACACCGAGGAGAGTCTACTACCCGCCGACGAGATCAAGCTCGCCCAGGAAGAGGAGGGGGTACTGGGGGTGGAGAAGAAGAAGGATGTCGAGCTCAAGGTGGAGCTGGGAGAGGCCAAGATCGTCGAACGCAAGGAGGAGGAAGAGGACGTGATCGAGAAGCTCAATGAGGACAAGGAAGAATGATCGGATTCAACTTCATGGCCGGCCGGCGGGGGCAAGGAGGGAGGGAGGGAGGGAGCTTAATAATTGATTGATGACTCACTCACTCACTAACTCACTCAATCAATCAGTAGTAACACCCTAAATAATGGCACCCCATCCCATCCTTGGTGGTCCCCCCACGTTATCCTACGTCCATTTGTTTTTGTTTTGTTTGTTTTTTTCCCCGTTTTTAAGGTGTGGTTTGTTTTGCTGTAATGGTTAAGTTTGATGCATTGTGGTTAATATGTTTGTTGTGATTGTGAATGTATTGAAGATTTGTCGTTTTCGTTGTGTTTTGAATAATTAAAAAAAAAAATTCACCAGTGGAGACGGGAGAGGGCACTTCAGGACAATTAATGCGATCGTCTAAATTAAAAAGGCGTAAACACAAGTACAATTGAGAGCTAGCCTAGATTTGTTTGTCCTTTTCGAATATAATTTCGAGATTTGGCTCATTGTCATTACAAATAAATTTGATAGGTACAATTGTTTGAGGCGCTCTTCATTATCTTGATAGTTGATTATGTGGGAAAATGAAAAAGACGTCCAAACATGTTTTTCTCACATAAGCGTAATTTACAAATCACACACTAAAATATGCGATTGAATCAACAAAGTCATATGTTAATTGCTTGATCATATAGAACAATGAGAACTTGAGCGCCAAGTATTGATGGGCGGACGTGTCGAAACCAACTCGAACGGAAGAAGTGCTAGTGTTGTGATATATGATCCACCATTGAACCTCTCCCAACAACTCGAGTTATTGAGATCAACTGGTTCTTGACATGGTATCAGAGCCTTCTGTGACCGAGATGTCTTGTGTTCGATTCCCGGTGACTCCCATTTGTTAAGCACATGGTATTCTTGTCTTCAGACCTGTGCAAACTTCAAGCCCTTCAAGCCCTTGCGAGTGGCTTTCATTTGAGGAGGCGTAAGTAACTTCCGTGCTTTTCATCAAAAGCCAGATGTAGTTTAGTACCCAAACAGGCTGTCAGTACTTTAGAAGGGAAAGCCATTAACATTTAAGTATTCTTGTCTTCAGACCTGTGCAAACTTAAAGCCCTTGTGAGTGGCTTTCGTTTGATGAGGCGTGAGTAACTTCCGTGCTTTTCATCAAAGGAAAGCCCTTAACATTTAACAGAAGCATCAAATGTTTCAGAGGAATCAATTAAAAATAGTACCAAGTTTAGTAAAATACACACCAGAAAGGATTAAGAGAGGTTCAGAATGTTAGAATACATTCTCCACTCTTTTTGGAGCATCTCTGGAGCAGCTGATACAAACTTGCAGTTTACAAACACCAATGTGCTATGTGCATCTAGCCAAGCTGTGCGGTTTAACTTTTGGATGAGGATTGGAAGATGAACACTGCTGTGAGAACACCAACCAGTCCCGTCACTGCCAAGGCTGCTGTAGGCATGGGGCCCGAGAGCCCGAAATTCTGCAAGCAAGCAATGGAAGAAGCTTGAATCAATATGCTTGAAACATTACACTACACCATGATAGTGTGTGTACATATATCAACTGTGATGGTGCAAGTGGAACCACAGCATTACCTCAAGGAGGCCTTTCCCTGTCGAAATTTCAACCGTGATGGCCACAGCAAAGCCTACCATCCCAATCCGTCCTAGCCATACGTCCAATCCGCTATCCTGGGTGCTTTGCTCGCTTCTTACAGAAACTAATGCAGCTCTTCTTGCAGATTTTGCCTTCACAAGTCCGGTTCTAGATATCACTGCAAATGAAAGAAGACGTAGAAACCACAACAAATGCCACACCTTTGAAGTCAGTTTTAAGCTTTTCCTTCAATTCCATTTCGCCAAGTTCCCAAGCAAAGCAACCAAAACATAGTAAATAGTCATCGCCATTGAGAGATGATGCAAACATGATGTGCCAAAGATGCTACAACATGATGTGCCAAAGATGCTATTAAGGATCAATATCTTAAAACAGAAACCGCAGAATTGGGGATTCCAGGATAAAGTACACTAGTACAGTCAACTAGACATTAATTCTAGTTTCCCCTTTGGAAAATGACTATTGATTATCTCCTGTGAAATCCTAGTGACTAACGAATTCCAATCTCTAAGTCAAGGGAACCCAGTTCAACTGACGTTTGAGGAATAAGCAAAGGCAAGCCAATTCACCATCAAAGCAACGAAAATGGAGATTTTAATCCTTACACAGAGGAGACCCAGTGGCGAACGTGGAGCCAATTCGGCCAAATCCGGAATTGGGTAGCCGAGAAACGGAAAGCGTCGCCGTCGAACCGACGGGGCAAGCATCTGAAACGAAGAACACCGAAATCATAGGAGAGACAAATTCCAGCAAAAACAAGGACATAGAAAGAACGAAAGAAGCGATTATTGCAGGGAAAAAAGGCGGGGTAGTGAAGTACCGCGAACGGAGAGGGAGAGCGATGGCGAGAGATGAGCCGCGACTGCTGATGTCGCCGCCGCCATGTTTAGTGGAGTAGAGAGTGTAAAAAGAAGTGAAGAAGAGAGCCGAAGGAAGAATTCTGCGCTAAAGGCTTAGCCTGTGTCCAGGGTCTATCGTCTTGCTGCTGGCGCGCGAAGTTGTGAACCAGAGAAGGATGTGAAGAAAATGAGAAGCCTACCGGTTGACACGTGTAAGGGAGTCGTCGGATCAGGTATTGGGCTTTTCGTGGCCGGTTCTGATGAAATGTCCAGACATAGAAGCCCATCAACTACGAGACCCCATTCTGCGGCCCAGACACACAAGCCCATTCCCCCAACCAAAAGCCCAATCTCGTTATTCCGCCGGTTTGATTGTCTTCAAGAAATGTTCTGCCCGCAATCACTCTGCAACTGCCCGCTGCTGAGAAACCCTCACCCCTCCGCACCCTCGCACTCTCAGTCAGTTCTCCGTTTGCCGTCTCCTGTCTTCCCTGCAACTCCAAACACTTCCTCCTGGTTCCGCTTCAGTTTTCTGCAGTTCTGCTACAGAGATAGATTGAGCCAGAGAGTAGCGGCAGCAATCCCTTCGATCCCAAACGAAATGCGAGGAAGCCGCAGCAATAGGGTAAGAAACTCTGGTTTTGGAGAAATTGATTGATGGGTTCGATGTTTCTATGCATTATCTGCCCCTAGAATTTGAAGAAGCGATTGATTGGATTAATCATGAACTTTCAGCTTGTTGTGTTTGATGTTTCTATGAACTGTTTGCTAGTATCATTTGACTGAGCATTGCTAATAGAGAAAGGTGTTCATGTGCTGTGTGTTTGTCTCAGACTTTTGAGTTTATGAGAAAATGGGGTTCCGGCATACCAAGCTACTAGCTACTACGTTTGTTTTCTATAGTGGGTAACCATTTTGAAACTTATGAACAGAGTGGCGAACAAACAGGCATGTCCAAGGACTACCATGAAGCCCGTAAGCGCCTGGATAAGCTTCTCAGGTACAAAAATGAAGTTTTCCTTGTTTTTATGCAAGTTGAAATAAGTTTCTTTCCCCCCATTTAGTTCATATTCGATACGGTGCTGCAGTGAGAAAGGAGAGCTCAAGGCGGCTGCAGCAGCCAAAATGGAACAGATGATAGCTGAGCTCTCGATCGCTCCTCCTGTAACTAAGCCGTTTTATGAGGCCAAGAAGATCAAAGAAGGGTATACTAGCTTCAAGCAAGAGAAATATGAGTGAGTCCACCATTATTATTCACTAATTCGGGTCTCCACAGAAAAATGCTACAAATCCCTATTGTTACTATTGATCTTTATATGCATTACTGCCAATTGTTTCTTAACCTCCTGGTGATCGCAGCCTCCTCAAAATTGGGGATTCCTTCCTTGATGTCCATTATTGATTTTCTTTTTTCATTTGATAACAGGAAGAATCGTGAGCACTTGGACAAAGTTGCCAAACAACAGAGTCCCAAGGCAGGTTCCTTCAGCTTTTCTCTTCATTTCTTGTACAAAAAAAGGTTTACTCTTCATGTGCCTTTGCGCAGTGTGGGAATGATAATGATTAAGAAGGATTAATCTGTTGATGACTGTTCGTACCTCTAATTTATTATGCATTCAACAAAGAGCTATGGCGGGGTAGGAATAAGAGTTTATCTACTTTAATTTAAATTTTGTTTTCATGAAGGAGGGATTTGTCAATTCTAAGCTAACGCAATTTGTTCTCTAAATTTATCTATCCATACAACAATATGTTAATGATATCATCAATTTAAATTATACCAATTTAAAGGCCACTCATCTCAACTTTTTTGGTAATGTTTCTATGTTACATTCAGTTATTATAAAAAATTCTGATATTTATATGTTTACTAATGGAGTATAGAAGAGTAGAGCATATTACATAGTTTGATGGACGTAGGTTGTTGATGCCTCAGATCGTTATTGTAGACAGGAAGAGGAGCTAGTTGAGACTAATGAGCCCCTTTATTGACTTGCAGCGTCCTGTTAGTAGACATGCTTCTGCTTTTGACGATGAGCGGTACGCCAATCATCTAGAGGTTGATGACGATGAGTCTGATGAAGATGAATTTGACGACGATGAGTTTGATGAGGACGATGAGTCTGATGAAGATGAAATTGACGACGAGTTTGATGAGGACGATGATTCTGATGAAGATGAAATTGACGACGATGAGTTTGATGAGGACGATGAGTCTGAGGGCAAGGCTTCTCATCCGGCTTTATATGTTGACTCGAGAGCTGCAGGTGGTTCTCATGCCCATAGACACCAGTCTGGCCCCTCTTCTACTGCATCACCTGAGTTTGTGGTTGCACGATGTGAGCCTCCGGACCATTTCAGACGAATATATGATGTTGATGACAGGACCTTTGTCACCCCTAGCAAAGGTAAGAAGGGGAGAGAACGCTCGTGCGTGCTTCTGGAGGAGGGTTCAGGTGGACCTATGGTTCCCACTATTATCCCTAGTTTTCGCGACCATGTAGCTTTTCGACTATGGACTCAGCCCGAGCAGGATCGAGGAATGATCCGATTCTATGCTCGGGATTGGCTAATGGGTAAGCTGAGAAATTATCGATTTGCAAGACAAGGTTCAGAGGGGTTGGTTCGGAAGACAGGGTTGTTTCACTTGCCCCGGTGCATGCTGACCCATGCTCATTTGGATCTTCCTCTACTTGCAGCGTTTGTTGAGAGGTGGCAACCAGACACCAATACTTTCCACATGCCATTTGGAGAGATGACTATATTGCTCCATGATGTTTTCTACATTCTCCGGATTCCAGTAGACGGAGAGATGCTCAGTGGTGGTGGTGGTGGACACCCTGAAAGTCTTAAGGCTGACATGTGTGATCTTCTTAAAGTCACACCTCACGAGTTGGTGGCGCCTGTTGTTGATGTTGCTAGTGGAAAGATGGTACCTTTGTACAAGAGTGGTGCGTTGTTCGGAGAGGCAGCTTTGACTCGTGTTCAGGGGCGTGGTGATATGGAGGCTGAGGTGCAGTGTTATCTATTGTTGTTGTTGGGATCCACACTCTTTGCGGACAGAAATGGTGGTTGTGTTCCTGCCATGGTCAACTTGTTCTTGAAGGATTATGATCGGGTGGGAAGGTACGCTTGGGGGGCTGGTACACTTGCCAATCTGTACAGGCAACTTGGGATGGCTTCTCGAGCTGATGCCAGTGAACTTTGTGGTTGTCTGACACTCCTGCAGGCTTGGATATACCAGTACTTTCCGACATTACGGGGGCCTAGATGTGAGCCTCGTACACTGAAAGAGGGGGAGCCTTATGCTTTGAAGTGGCATGGTGTACATTTCGTAGGGGAGAGGGCAGCTGGTGAGCGGTTGAGATACTATCGTCGAGTGTTAGACACCTTGACAAAAAACGAGGTGATGTGGCTTCCCTATGGTCACAACCCTGGCAAGGCGGTGCCACGATCTTTATACCATGGTGTGATCCGGTTTGGTGATGTGGCCGAGTTTTACGATCCTACACGATGTCTCAGACAGTTCGGGTACAGACAGGTTATCCCAGGTCCTCCTGTTGCACCAACTTACGCCTTCCGACCTGCATCTGGCACGGGATATAACGTTACTTTCCATCCTATCATGGATCAATTTTGGAGCTACTTAATGTGCCACATGCTGCACTTGGATGCCATCTCCACACCTGTTCAGCCTTTGCTCGATGTTGCCGAGGAGTACATGGGATGGTATACTGCTCATTCCCACCCATACATTGTGAATCCCATCATTCCAGGACATCAGCAGCAGCCTGCGGCGCGCACTGATTTGGTTAGTTTCATCTGTTTGGAACTTTACTTCGATCTTCACTCTGATTCTTGTTAACCCATGAAGAGCACCTGTAACATTTAAGACTGTTTATCATTGTGGCTTGCAGTTGGCGCGCCAGATTCTGCACAGGCTTGCTCCCTTGTTTTCGGCGAGAGATGTCGACACATTCAAGGCGAACATACATGAGTTCTGGGTCATACTTGAAGGAGCTAGAGGCTTGTGGAACGAGTATCAGCGACTGCAACCACGACGACGACTACCTTCTCAATCTCAGTAGCTGCATGTAGTTTGGTTGTTTTTGTTGCAAGTCGTTTCATGTTTTGTATCCACACAACGGTTAGTAATTAGCTCACTTCTCCTCCCCACTAACGACATGTGAACAACCTGTTTTTTTTATAATCTCTCAATTTCTCTCCAATTATCCAAGTTTCTTACAGAAATGGATGGATTTCTTTTTCGATCTTGTTTGCTTTAAATAGAAAGGAAAAAAAAAAAGACAATGACCTATTTTAATCAAACCAATAATAGACATCCTCGGTAGCTAAACCGGACAAAACTAGCAAATCTGCGGTCCGGCGAATCCCCACGTTTTGGAACGCCGGGAAAATGGTCCCGCCGGAATAGACAGTTTTCGTCTCATTAGGATTGTCGAGTGAATTCCCTCCTTGTGAACCACATAAACAGATTGTCCGAAATCATTGTGTTATAAAATAAATATCTTGATATTCAACTGCCCGTCTGGCCGTCTTTGTCCTTTGCCGCCCAAATCTTTAATTCTTGAAGCTTTGCCGCCATTGACGACTTCTCCTCCATGCTCGCCGCCGACCCCATTGTTACTATAAATCACACTTCTAAGTTCTAAAAACATGCACTCACGGTCACACAGTCTTTCCCTCTCTCACTCTCTGTTTTACTCCAGTCCTTCCATAGCCAGACAATCGAGCGGTGATCAAGATCATGAAGGAACTCTGCCTTCTTCTTCTGCCGCTTCTCCTCCTCCTCCTTGTAACGGCCGACGAGGCCTGGTCTTCGTATCCGGCGAGCGGCGAGGTGCCGCCGGCGGAGGTGAGGGAGGTGTACGGCAACGGCCGGCTGTTCGACATTACCCACAGGTTGAAACCCGACCTGCCCAAGTTCGATTCGACTGGCGGGATTGGGCAGCTGTATACGCTGGTGCAGAGCATCAAGAACGGCTCGTCGTATAACGAAGGGGAGATCAACCGGTTGCTCACCCACACCGGAACCCACGTCGACACGCCGGGTCATTTCTACCAGAAGTACTTCGAGGCCGGCTACACCATCGAGTCCCTCGACCTGGACGTCCTCAACGGTAAAATCAATTCTCGATCTCACGCCATTTTTTTTCTTTCTTAGTACTGCCCATTATGTGTTTGATGAAATTCCCCTTCCAACTGTGAGTTCCGAAGAATGGTCCAATTTTGAATTTCCTCCCCTGTTTCTTACTCTGGTAAGGTCTTGGATTGGATTATGGGTAATGGGTACTCAGATTTGTGGTGGTGTTGTTGAATTTCATTACCGATTCTTACTTGCAGGCCCAGCATTGTTGATTGATGTTCCCAGGGACAGTAACATTACTGGTAAAGTGCTAACCAGTCCACCATTTGCTACAGCTTTTCTCTGATGAACTTGAGCTTCTTGCTTGTGGAGTCTGTTGTTTTGGTGAAACTGGGTTTCCTTCTGTTGTGCCACAGCTAAAGTAATGGAGTCACTGCAAATCCCAAAAGGAACCAGACGTGTGTTGTTCAGGACTCTGAATACCGATAGGTAAAACGAAAGAAAAGTTTTGCAACCCTTACATTTCCTTCTGTGACAGATATGAGTAGAATGTGAATCCGGTTGTGGCTTCCATTTCAGGCGTTTGATGTACCAGACGAACTATGATTCAAGCTATGTCGGGTTCATGACCGATGGGGCTCGGTGGCTTGTGGACAACACAGACATCAAACTTGTTGGTAAGTTTTTTCCAATCATTCTAACTGCGAGAAGTAGCTACCAAAAACCCAACTTGCCAAATGAATCCTGCAAACATTAGATGCAATGGTCTCACAGATTAAGAATTTGCCTGTGGTGTTTTGAATCGCAGGAGTTGACTACTTATCTGTTGCTGCCTTTGTCGACCTCGTTCCTACTCATCTAGCTCTCCTGAAGAACAGGGTAAGAGAAAAGACGGGGGGAAAAAGATTTTACTTTTCACTATTGATCACCGTGTGAATGACAGAGATTTGCTGTTTTCTTATGAATAACACAGATTTGCTGTTGTTCTAGGAAATCATTATCGTCGAAGGTATGAAGCTTGACAACATTGAAGCTGGACTGTATGTTGTTAATTGCTTGCCTATCAGGCTGGTTGGAGCTGATGGAGGGCCAACAAGATGCATTCTCGTCAAGAATTAGGACTTAGTCTAGTGGTAATTACACTAGTTTTGGAATTTGTAGATTTGAAAAGTTCAACTTTCTTAAATAGCATCCAGTCACAAATAAAAATAAACCTATATTACTCCTTATAAAAATAAAAAGATGCATTCTCATCAAATAACCATATGTGTAAAGTAATATGCTATGTTGTAATTTTTTTATAAGGTTGATATAGTATTATTAAAGAGAAACAAAATAGAAGGAAAACAAGACAGTCTCCAAAGAAACATGGCAGAGAAACTGCGCAAGTGAGCGGGGAAAGAAGCAAAAGCAGATAGCAAAAGCAAAACAGACAGAGACAGAGACAAACAAAGGCAGCAGGAGGAGACAACTCAGAACAGGAAGCCAGGATGACCGGGGCAAAAATCCTGATACCGAGGAGTGGAGACTGTCTCCACAGGCAGAGACCAACGAACACAAGAGGTTGAAATCAATCCCTGGGAGGAAACAACCTCGTCTTCATCACGTTTAGCCAGCTCTCGGAGATCTCTCTATCAACTTTATTTGCTGCATTCAACCATTGAGCAATAGCACATCCAGTTCTTTAGGCCACTAATAGAGGGGAAACTTCCAAATCATTGAAAATTCTCGCGTTTCTTTCGAGTCGTAGGTTCCAACAAAAAGCGTGAAGGAACACCCTTGAAGCCCATTGAGCAGGATCAACAGGTTTGTTCTTGTTCCACAACTTGATCTTTTCTGCAATGTCAGTAGCTCTGCAAACCAAGTCCTCAATTCTAATGAATGCTATGTTGTAATTTTAAGTAATATATACTGGAATATTTGTTAAAAGTTAATTTGCAATAATGAAGTTTATCTTCTACTAGAATTACATCAAAGGACAACCCTATATATACAATAAGTTTGAACATAAAATGTTCAGCCAATAAGTTTTGACAAGATGATGAGAAAGCACAACCACCAAAATAAATGAGTTGAATAACGAGTTTCTATGGACAACATCACAAAAGGTTGTCAAACCGGTTTATGCCAGTGTGCCGGTTTAGCAAGTGGAATGGTTCGACCGGTGGTACATACAGGTTTGTGCCGGTTCATACCGGTTAATATTACAAATAATTTACAAATAGTCATATTTAAACATGACATTTAACGTAAATACCTAAATATTTGTACTTGAATCCAACAAATAACATCAACATTTAACTTTTTAACACATAAAACAAATAATAAACTACTTTTTATCAATTAAATTCACTAAGATAAGATAATTTTACTTGGAGATTCGTATATCGATCGTGCCGGTCATACCGGTGGTGTCATGCCGGTTTTATGACCGGTACAGGTTGAACCAGGTTCAACCAGTGGCACGCCGGCCGGCGTGACAACCCATTCACCAATGTAGTCAAAATCGCGATTTAAAACTTAAAAACTTACGGTTTTATGCTTCTAGGTCACCAAAACGCTTTCGTTTCTATCTAAACTTTAGTGTATAAAATCAGACTAAATTGCGCTTTAAAACTTAAAAACTTACGCTTTTACGCTTCTAGTTCACTAAAACGCTTTACGTTTTTACGCTTTTACTTCACTAAATGGGTATTCTTTTCATGAAATTAATTATAAAAAGTATATTTTAAAAATAAATCACAGACAATATGATACCTTTAAGATTAAAAGATACATACCAGATACTTTGATGCATTCTCAAATTTATTAGCATGGAGGGGAAGGAGGCTTCTTGATAAGATTTATGTTTATGAACTTATTATTAAGAGGCTATAAGTTGCTCTACTTTAGACATGAATTGCAAGTATTTATTAATTTCTCTAAATTTGTGCACTCATATTTTTCATAGTATATGTCGTACTTAACATATTTTTAGTTCTTTTACAGTATGCATAAAAAACTTACGTTTTTACGCTTTAATTCTACGCTTTACGATTTTACCCATTTTCCACTTCTAGGTAGAATCTCGCTTTTAACTACATTGCTGATCACAACAATTTAATTAGATGAAGACATGACAATGCATGAAATAAATTGGATGACCTGTGAATGGTCACTTCCATTACCAATTCATGCACATGGAGCAACGTGGGAGAGACTAGAGAGAGAGTACAAAAGCATTATTTGTTTTTAGTGTATTTTCTAAAGGGAGTGAAAAACCGAACATTTTCTGTCCGATTGATTCCAAATTATAGGATAAATTACAAGTTTGGCCACTTGAATTACTAGTAAAATTCACGTTAGCCACTAGAATTATTTTATTCCATCCGTAGTCACTTAATTTAGGTACATAGTCCAAGTTCTGTCACTCTCCGTTAACCTCCGTCAGACTCCGTTAACAGAGACCGTTAACTAATGACATGACTAACAGAAAATCTCGGTCAGCTTATTTTAACCAGTGTTGTCAAAATCGAACCGGACATCGATCTGGATTAATGAGAGGTTCAAGATTTATCGAATAATTGTTGATTAACCGTTATTGAAAACCGCTTATAAACCGGTGGTTGGTTTCAAATAAAAAGAACAAAATATAGAGTAAGAATAAAAAAGAGTCAAATTCAAAGATAGGCGCATGCAGGAGATTTTTCCAATAATAGCACCTTTAAAAAAAAAATTACAATATTAGCACCCTTCCAAAAATAATTACAAAACTAGCACCTGTTTTAATGGAACGCACCTCTAAGGTGCGTTTTATAAATGAAACGCAGCCTAAGAATGCGTTTCCAACATAAATCGCACCCCTAAGATGCGATTTATGCTGTAAAACGCATCCCCAAGATGCGTTCAATATTTGGTGGCCAGCGACCTTTCAGTTCGCACGATTGAGGTGCAATCCAACGGGCTGGAGCATAGCCACGTCAGCAATCCGCGCGGTGGATTGTGGATCGCACTGGCGAGGTGCGATTTCTCGCCTGGAAAAGTGGAGCGTCAGTTTCCAGAGCGTTCAACGCCTCGGGACGCGGAGATCGCATCGGGGAGATGCGTTTTCACGCTGAGATCGCACCGGGGAGATGCGATTTCGACGGGGTAAAATTACCCTACCGCCCCTGAGGGGTGCGATCTGTTGGGTATAAATACCCCCCTTCCCCCTCTCATTTCTTCACTCCACACCACCATTCTTCCTTCTCTCTCTAGATATAATCTCTCTAAACCCTCCCCTCCCAAAAGCCTAGGAAATAAAAGTCTGTTGGTTGCGGCTAAGTCCGATCTGCCATCAGAAAATATTTCTTAGGTTTTTTTCTCAAAAACCCGCCGAGCCGAGCCGAAGCTCTGTCCGAATTACGCCAAAAAATGGCCGATTGGTGGCAAGGAGAAGGAGTTTATCTTGATGAATTTCAAACGGTATGTACTCATTATCCATGTTTAATTTTTATTGTTGTTATAAGTTTTTTAATTAATCTATGTACTAACCTCGTTGTTATTTTCTCGTAGGTTGGGGAGGACGTCGATATATACAACCAACGGTATTATCTCGAGCAAGGACCGGTGGATCCAACCGACTTGTACGACCAACCCAACCATCGGTCAAGGGATATTTGGAACGATCACCCGGTACATACAATTCTTCACCATTTGTCCTTCTTTTATTTTGTTAATATAAAATAAATTTATGTTTATTTTTTAATCGTGTTGGTGGTTTTCAATAATTTAATCGAATACATAGCGCCACTTACTTCGACTCTTTATAAAGAGATGCACGTCTAAGGAAATGGGGTTTTAAGCGATTATCATATCCTCCCATTACCTGGGAAAATCGGGTATTAAGAGATCCTCGGATCCCCCCTTTTTCTGTCAAAAAGACTGCGTTTCTAAGAAGATGTATACCTCTTCTAAGAGTCTAACGAGTGTTGCTTTGTATTCGATTAAATTATTTAAAACAACTAATACGATTAAATTATTTACCAAACATTTGAATATGTATGTTTCTACTTAAATTATTATTCATTAACAATGTTATTTATGTTAATTAATTTAGTATGTTTGTTTTACGATAATATGTATGTACCTCTTTAAATTATTATTCATTGACAATGTTATTATGTTAATTAATTTAGGACGTTTGTTTTATGATAATATGAAATGTCTTTTTATGATAATAAAACTATGTTTTATGTCGCATAATTTAATTTAATTAATTTAGTTATACGGAAAAAAACCCTTACTAATAATAATTAACGTGTACATTTTTGCTAGGAGGCACAAACAATAATCCGCTACAGGGGTACCACCAATGTGCTCCCATTCCACCCAGCTATCTTGCCATTTCTCAAAAGGGCACGGTTAGACTCGATTCGGCATTTTAACGGCATCCAAATCGATCGCCAACTCATCACCGCATTAGCCGAGAGATGGAGAAAGGAGACCCATTGTTTCAACTTTAGAGAAGGAGAGGCCACCATCACGCTATGGATGTCGCCATCCTAACCCATCTGCCCATCGACGTATTCCCTTTAATTTAATCTATCGTATTTCGTTGAGTTTCATCCTCTTTTGTTATTATCATGATTCCACTTCACTTGATATAATCCCAATTCGTTCAATCAACAATACACAATTAAATGCAACGTAAGAGTTACAAATAGCTTGACGAATGATAATCGAAAATTATGTCGCATTAGCTGATTCCGGCACATCATCACCCGGATTTTGCGGACCAATCGGTCCTGGACACATTCGTTTATCATGTCCTGGAACTTTGCATACTGAACACCGTCTTGGGCCTCGTGGTGGTCTTCCACTTTGATCCATTTCATTCTGAATTCTCTTTTTCCTCGGGCGCCCCGGTTCACGCCTCTGTCCGAATGGCGGGACGATCAATTTCCCTTCGTACAGCGGCCAATAAGCTTCATCAGGCAATGCACGGAAACTCCGTCCATAGGTGCTTTTGAGTGAGTCGATATTGAAGAATGGACTAACGAAGTGACGGGGGTCTTTGCTCCTCTTTTTAATTACGGCCATTGCATGAGAACAAGGCCATCCTCTCCCCTGATACTTCTGGCATGAGCACTCACCAACTTTGATCCTGAAATTGACCGAAACTTCGTGACGGTGGCCCCCGCGTCTACCATCCTCCCGATGTCCGGTCGTCACGCTATACTCACCAGTTGCCCGATTCATAACGGTTACACTATGTCGACTGCTCTTGCGATTGTCACTATCCATTATTTCAGTGACTTTATAGGCATGGACCTTTCCCTATGCCTCGTTTGTCCTTGCCCAGTGGAGACGGTTCACGAACCATGCATTCGTTTTCCAAAAAGTCATCTCCACAATGGCAGAGATTGGCAGTGCACGGACGGCCTTGTAGACAGAGTTGATACTCTCACTTGAGTTGGTTGTGGCAATACCCCATCTTTTCCCTCCATCTTTATGAAATGTCCACATGGATAGGTTGTGTCCATCCAGCCACTATGCCCCTTCAGGGCATAACTCG